AATATGCACCCTGGTGAGGACAGTGTGTAGTGTACCCACACTTACCTTGTCTTTTTGGGCAGTAGAGGTGATGGGTTTGGGAGATGCTACCAAAGAAATTTTGACAACGTTCATTTTTCCACACGTGTGACTAGACAGAGCTGGGGTATCATAGATAAGGTGACAACAATGTTCCCTGACCTTGAAGCCCATGTTCTACTGCTCAAGATGTTTAGTTTATTTGTTTACAAGATCTGAGTTTTGCTGTTGAGGCCAACATTTATTGCTCATTGTTGCACAACTCAATGGCTAGTTAGGCTGTTTCAGAAGGTAGTTAAGTTCAAATGGCACTGAACAGGTAGGGGTGGTGTTGGTCACTAAATAGGATACACCTGGGGGTGAGGAGGGGGTGGGCGCTCACCAGATAGGACACACCTAGTTAGGATTTCATTCCCTCAAAGAAATTAACAAATAAAATGCGTTTTTACAACATTCTAATAATTTCATGGTCACTATTACTGATATTAGCTTTATTTTTCTGGTTCGTTCAATTCATTAACTTTTAAATTTCCCAGCTGTCCTGGTGGAAATTGAACTCATGCCTGAAGTTAATTGGTCCAGGATCTGGATTATCACCCTTCAGGAATTACAAAGCAGGTATAGGGTTCACATTTTTTGCCCTTAACAGTGAAAGCCTGGAGCCACAAAGCTGATGTGCTGCACATATCACTGTCCATCTATGGAAGCATGCCCCATTCATTTCAACATTTTGACTCCATCTCTTATTGGCATGGACCTCAAAACAAATGATACAATATATGATGGCTTCACGTTTCCAAATGTCCTTTCCATCCAAACACTAAGCCTGTAATTAAAGTTGTCCCAGGTTAGCTTTTGTCAGATTCTTTGTTTTTTGCAATTTTTCCAACCTTTTTTAACTGTAAGCATTTTCCAAATGAGATAAGCTAGTGATAAAACCTCCACCATAGGAATAGGTCAGAGAAATTGCTGCTTTTATAAAAGTTGTAGTATGACTGTTCTTTAAGAAACTGCAATACATGGACATATGTAAATGAGCTGATCATTCTATCCGCCTATAGCTGTGTAGGCCCACCTATGCATAGTGGTTTATGTCTTGCAAATAACTTAATAGATACACGCACATAATGGTTTCTTACAACAAGCCTTTTGTTCATTTTATTCGTGGGATGTGGCTCTTGCTGACGAAGCCAGCGTTTGTTGCTCATCCCTAAATAACCTTGAACGCCCCAGACTATGGCAGCATGGTCGCTCAGTGGTTAGCCCTGCTGCCTCAGCGCCAGGGACCTGGGTTCGATTCCACCCTCAGGCGATTGCATATTCTCCCCGTGTCTGCGTGGGTTTCCTCTGGGTGCTATGGTTATCTCCCACAGTCCAAAGCTGTGCAGGTTAGATGGATTGGCCATACTAAATTGCCCATAGTGTCCAGGGATGTACAGGCTAGGGCGGATTAGTCATGAGAAATGCAGGGTTATAGGGTAGGAGGGGGTAGGTCTGTGTGGGATGCTCTTCTGAGGGTCAGTATGTACTCCATGGGCTGAATGGCCTGTTCCACATTGTAGGGTTTCTATGATTTCAGAGTGCAATTAAGAGTCAACCACATTACGATGTGGTTCTGGAGTCACATGTAGGCTAGACCAGATAAGGATTGCAGATTTCTAAAGGACGTTAGTGGTTTTGACAACAGTCAATGATAGTTGTCATGGTCACCATTACCATACTGAATCCCGCACTATCATCATCTTGAACTGAACCAGCCATATAGAAGTAGACTGCAGCAAGATCCTTAGACAGTATTTTCCATACCCATGAGCATTGCCGTTATTAAAGACCGAGGTAACGAGTACCAAGCCACTTGCCGTCCTGACTGGGACATATTCTGCTGGGTCAAATTCCTGGAACTTCCTCATTCCCTAACAGCATTGTGAATGTTCCTAAACCACACGAACTGCTGCGGCTCAAGAAGGCAGTTCCGCACCACTTTTTCAAGGATAATACCCAGGTTGCTGATGGGCGTTTTTAATACAAGGCAATAAATTGTATAAAATCTTTATGCACTTGGTCCCAGCAAAATGTGAAGGAATTCTGTTGGAGAAGCCTTCAAAGGGTACTTTTGTTGTTATTTGAAAATAGGAAACTTGCCCAGTGAACTCCCTGTGGCTCTCATTTAAGGGTTTAATCTTTTATACTAGTTGTTGGCCACTCAGTTGTTTGCATCTTTTTCGTATTTTCTATAGATTCCTTGGGTCTAGAATGAGATGGCGGATGGCCAGTCTGTCCCTCGAACTACTTCTGCTACTCAATTCAATAATGGCTGATCAGTATCTTAACTCCATCTACAACCTTAAAATCTTGTACAGGCAAAAGCCCCACACAACCACAGTTCTGAAAGTTTCACCTGGCTTAACCTTGGTTTGGGACCAAGTTCCAGATTTCTTACAACCCTTTGTATGAAGAAACAATTCTTAATATTTCTTCTCATTTTAAGGCTACCCCCATCAAATCCTTCAATCATTTTAAAAAAACCTCAACTCGATTACCTGTTTAAAACGAAACTGCAGTTTGAAAGGCAGTAATAGCAATAAACTTGCAGAGACGATGCACTGATTACATGATCCACTGCTCACTGTGAGGAATGTGAAATTGGACAGATTTGGTGATTACTAAACAATAACACCAATGCTCACAGAGACATTACCTAACTGTTTACGTGGAGAGGTGGACAGCTGTGCAGAATGCTAACTCTAAAACACTAATTAAACAGCCCAGTTGTAAGCAAAAACGGATTCATTAAGTCATCTTAAATTGCTGGCCCTGCCATTGTTAACTGTTCCATTCTGAGGGGTGAAATTACTGTCGTCATTCTTGCGTGCATTGTTCTTGTAATCCTCCTGATATGAGAAAATCTCTTATCCTGTTGTATTGCTTACAACACTTTACTGGATAGACAGTAACAGATTGCTCATTTAACTTCTGCTTGCAATCAGTTGACTGCTGCAGATGCAAATGACTTATGCTTTTACACAAATGCATGGCTTATTAATAAGAGAATTCTGCTCACACCTTCTGTTGCATGTAGCCAGTTGCCTGTCAGAATGAAGCAAAATAATTGCATGAAATACTAACAAAATTTTGTACCTGTTTTCCTCTCCCTTCTCACACCCCCCACCCCTCTCCCTGGAACTCCTGCCTGTGTGCTTGTTTGCCTGGCTTGCTAGGTGGTAAGTTTTGCTTTTTATCAGAAGTTAATTGAAATATCCACTGCTCTTCTGCCTCGCTACGGCTGTGTTTGTAATGAAGTGAGCATTGTGTCAGTATTTCCAGCTCCCGACACTTGTCTCATTCAACCTGTAGCGACACCAAAAGGAACTTGCCAGATTTCGTGACGACACTGAAAGAGAAATGAGCTGATTCGGTGGGGAGAGAGATAAAAAGACCCCTTTTCCCCCTAACTAGGCCTGTTCACTCACCAAAGTAACACATGGAGCAAGTTTGGTTTGTTATTTGAGCCCGCTGCAGGAAACCTGTCAGAAGCTGGTGGTACTATAACAATGAGAAACCAGGCTGGAAATTATATTTAATATTGCAGTTCAGTTGCGACTTCGGCACCTGAATCTGGAGTTAAGCTTAAGCTGTCGTTGACCAGATTCACAATAAGTTGTGGCATGGCCAAGATTTATATTGCATTTGACTTGGGTGAGATCAAGGAGTGATTGGAAGAGACTCTGTGGTCCATTGTTGGGTCCTGCACACTGATGATGCTTTGTGCCACGTGATCTCCTGGGAAAGGAACAATTCCAAATTAATCAATTTGGCAATAGAAACTAGTCGAAGAGATCATTCCCCCTCTGATGATAGCATGCAGTAGCTACCTTTTGAATTGACTGAATGCACCCATTCAAAAACAAGTCCTTCTCTTGCTGTAAGTATGAAATAATATGGCAAGTCAACACGGAGAGCATGTGCCCTGTGCCTCTGAGTTGCCAAGGGAGGTTGATGCCATTTGAAGTTTTCCTAAATTTTCCAAACCGGAGCAAATGTTTGCATAGTTTTGGGTTCTCTGAAATCCTGGCAGCACCAATGCGGCCGTCTAGTACTTGAATCATTGTGCTCTTTTAACAAGTGTTATCTTTAGTGTAGCAGCATCTATTTAATCAGTTCAAAGGAACGTTCACCCCTTACATTTTTGATCAATGTAAATGCTATGGAATCAATGAAAGCAAATTTAAGATCACAACTATGCTAATAAAAACAGCAAGTACTGGAGAACTCAGCATGTCTGTGGGGGGAGAACTAGTACTGCATCTCAGTACTTTGTTTTTATTTTAATATCAGGTCACTATTACCCAGCATAATGCCTTGAATCTCAAGACTGTAGGTTATTTATTAAGATCTTCAATGCCCAATTGTTAATAATATTAAACATCCATTTCTCTGACTTGAATTGCGGAATCACCTTTCATTTTGAAGAGAGCCTGCACTTGGTCAGTTTTCACATGCACAGGTATTAAAATTGAACTTCTTTTGTAGATAACCGGAAGCAAAAGGATATTTCCATTTTGTTTCAAAACTGTGGCCGTCTGTTGACAGATATCTGCTGTTACACCCCACACTTATTGTTTGTTCTAGAACTCTCAGACAGTCTTCATGGTACCTGTGCATAATTTTTGTTTGACTGCAATGCATTTGGCATCATAATAATATAACGACAATTTGCTGCTTTTCATAAATTGGAGAATATTGATTTTGTGACAAGATGTGACAACGATTCTGTGATCAAGGTGATTTACACAGGATCTGAATGAGCCCCAAGTTATCATTCATTTACTTCACCAGAAAGCAATCCACTAATGTAACCCTTCAGATTAGTTTGAGTCATCTTCTTTGCTGTCTTTAATTGTGCAATTAGTACCTTCTTGTCAGATCTTTAATGTAGGTACCATGCACATTAACATCTGATTAAAATTCTGTCTGCATTGCAGAATATTGGAAAGAAGATGACCTGTCAAGACTTCATTAACAATCTGGATGGTTTAAATGGAGGGAAGGACTTTCCAAAAGACCTGCTGAAGGTACAAGATACAGAACTGATAACATTGCTTGGTTCAAATGGACAGAATCTTACACTGAAATGACTGAGAATCTGTGATAATACTGGTGTTCTCTCTCTGCTTTTTAAATCGTTTTCTAATCAACCTGTTCGGAGATGTTATGACACACCTCTGGAAAATTTGGACTTGAACCCAGGCCTCCTGGCTCAGAGGTAGGGACACTCAGTGTAGCTCAGAAGCCCCCACTTCATGATTTTTGTTTAAAATTCCTCTTTATGTTTTTACTGATGATGTGGAGGTGCCAGTGTTGGACTGGGGTGCACAAGGTCAGACGCCACACAACACCAGGTTGTAGCCCAACAAGTTTATTTGAAATCGCAAGCCTTCAGAGCACTGTTCCTTCATCAGGTTCATCTGATGAAGGAGCAGTGCTTTGTAAACTTGCGATTTCAAGTAAACCTGTTGGTTTATAATCTGGTGTCGTGTGAGTTCTGACCTTGTTTTTACTGAGGTAGTGATATTGCTAGTACCTGTGATTTTAGTTGTTATGCTTGTGTATACATCTGACAACTACTTGGATGGGGATTTGTCAGTGCGATCTCCTACAGTATTCTTTGGTCTGTCTGTAACATATTGATGAAACTTCTATTAATTGTACCCGTCCATTTATTGAGGCATTTTCTTTTCCATCATCACTTTTCCTGCCTGCTCCTTATTTCGGGAATATAAACTGGCCAAGCAAATCCTTCCAGCCCATTCCTGTCACTCAGTACTCATTCATGACTTGCAGTATTGTTTTTGAGCTGATGAGGGTTTGTCCTGATCAACTCCCCAGTTTGCGTCCTCAAAAAAGACGATCTTATCCAAAACTCTGCTGCCTGTATCCTAATTTGCTTTAAGTTGTGTACACTCGTTATCCTTGTGCTTACTGTCTCAACTTAAAACACAACGTCTTCAAATTCTTTCCTATCTCTAAAAACTCTTCCATACTCACAACTTTGAGAGCAACCTCACTGACATCCCTGTCTGTAACTGCTTCACTTTTCGACTCTTTCTAAGCTTCTTCACTGCTCAAGTCTTCCTCTAAGATATTCCTTAATACCTTCTTTTGTCTCTCCTAATGTGACTTACACGGCTATGTCAAATTTTGTTTTCTAATGTTCCTGTGTTTGTGCCTTGGGATATTTATCCCACACGAGGGTGTATTGACGTATCAGCCTGATACAACTGATGCCTGATTATTGGCTGTCGTTTCCTGAAAAGCGTGCCTATTAGCTTAATAGTTGAAATGAAATCATCTGATGTTGTTGCGACAATTGAAGGACATTTTGATACTGGTAGTTTAGACTGCACAACAGAAATTCCAAAAGAAGTTACTATGACTGCACAGTCCCATCCTAGCACATATTTGCTTACTATTGATGTGTGGGAACCTGGCACACTCATTGATCATGACTATTTACCTCCAGGTTTGGTCCATTATCACGATGGGGGTAAAAGCCTTGACCATTCCTAGCAGGTTGTTCCACATTGCATATCATCATCATTATAACTCTACAGTCTGCTGCTGCAGGACGAAAGAGCATGGCAAAGGAGCCGTTCTTGCAGATTGTGAAGATATTTATCATGTTATTTAACCTAATGGATTGCGAGAGAAGAACAAGAGACAGATTCAAAATGAATAAGGTTCAAGTAAGATTGTGAAGGGGAAGAAGTTCTCTAACCCAGTACTAGACATGTGACATAGTAAAGGAACTAGTGGACATGTCAGGTAAAAATGAACAAGGTGAATAATTGGTCAGTAAGGGAGCTGAATCTGCAGAATTCTGAGATGATTGCACATTCCGGGACACGATGCCTGTATTTCTTTATTTGAGGATGTTACAGCTAGTCTGGGACTATAAAAACATGAAGGCTCTGAATAAACATGTCTGTTGTAAATAACCAATCCATGTGAGACAAAGGAGTAGAATATCTTGATTATGGAACTGCTAGTAAAGCTGCTGAAATTAGTCAAGTTGAACTTAGCATCAAAGGCAGAAAATGGAGAGAATGTGCAAGCAAACTAGGGTTGACAGCTCTTGAATACTTCTGCACCCAGGAGCTTTGAGGATCATCCACATATGACTCTCATTGTTATCCCAAATTCAATTAAGTGTAAAAAGTCCATTAAATTTCAAAATTTGATCTGGGGATTCTGGTAACTATTAACTTTTTGTTTGCTATGACAGAGATGCTGGAAACAGCATAATGCCCCAGGCCCAATGAATACTTGGCAGCTTTGAGTTTCAATATGGCAACGAGAGCTAAGCACAGGAACAATATACATCTTGTGAAACTCTGTGCTTAACAAGGTGAGTAATACCAGTTGCTGAGCAATCAAAATCTTACTCCACTCTTACTGTATTGAGTGCGGCACAGATATTTGCAACTTCTGCTCTCGAGGCCTTTCCCCTCCATTTTGTCTCGTCCCCATTATTGAATGTGGCGTGTTCTTTCGCCACACAAGCCAGCTTGATCTTATTAAATAAAATAAGGAACACTTTGAAAGGGGTGGGGCGTGTGTTAGTGACTGTGAGATGGGTGTGGGTTGCTGGTGATGGTATGTGTGTTGTGCCTGGAGATAATTACACACAGCATTGCCTCTCTCACAATGTTCCAATATAAGCTTTTAATGCACCTCACATTATGATGATTTGTCTGTAAAATTCATTATTTTCTTGACTTGATTTCAGTCAAGTTGTTCAGATTCCCCATTAACTAGAGGTTCAGCGAGGCCCCTTGCATCCGATGTCCTGGCCTAAGATGCATGCGCGTGTCCCTGCTGCATTTTTGCCCCCTATAAAGATGGTGGCCAAGCATTGTCCTTGCCATGAGTTGCCCCCAATAAAGATGGTGACCAAGCATCCCTGCTGCATGCTACCCTCTATAAAGATGGTGCCATACATACTTCATTGAGATGGGGTGGTGTAATGGAGATGCTCCAATCCAATGCCACTTTGTGACTGATGAGTCAGGATAGTTGGTCAGCATGATACCAAGGATGACTATGGTTTCTGTGGGGAAAAAAAAACTGTTAACTGATGCCTGATTCCTACAATCCCTGATTATTGGCTGTCGTTTTCTGAAACTCGTGCCTACTAGCTTACATGTTGAAATGAAATCCTGTCATGTCATTGCGACTATTGAAGGACATTTTGATACTGGTAGTTTAGACTGCACGACAGAAATTCCAAAAGATGTTACTGTGACTGCACAGTCCCATCCTAGCATATATTCTCTTACTATTGATGTGTGGGAAGCTAGCACACTCGTCGATTGTGACTATTTACCTCCAGGTTTGGTCCATTATCATGATGGTAGTAAAAATCTTGACCACTCCTAGCAGATGGTTCCACAAAGCATATCATCATCATAACCCCTTTATAGCTCTATATCCCTCTGCTGCTGCGATAAATTCACCATTTATCACCACTCCTAATGCTATATGCCTCATATTGTGCAGCTAGCTTCAAGGATACCCTTCGCACTAGGCTGGAGTGGAACCCTATCGCTGTGTACAATGCACAAAAGCACTGGAAGGTTTCTTTGCAAATTCATCCAAGACTAGTGTTTGTTTTAGTTGTCAATCTAATCCCTGTGGAGACCAATAACTTTTAGAAGGATTTGCATTCTGAATAACCAACTTAAAGGAACTTCATGGCAAGATTTCAAGTTTTAAGACATTATAACCAACAAACCAAACTAAAAGCAACATTGACTAAATATTACTTAGCAGACAAGTAATTTGCTAAGCCAGTGAAAAGTTATCACTTATTCGTTTCTTAACTAATGCCACATTTGGACATTACACTCTCCACAGGATTCCTGTCTTTGCGGGTCCCAGTATAAAGTTACACCTAGTTTCTAGTGGGCTTGCTTCTTCCCGTTCTGTCGAGTTGTTACAATTTAACTGTTGGCAACCTTTACGCTCAATCATCTGAGAGATCCTAAACCAGCTTCGAGTAACAGAGTTCACCTCAGTGATTCCGTCTCCCGACTATATTTCACAATTCTTAAATTCCTGCTGGATTCCCTGTTGTAGGACCAGCTGCCATCAGTATTCTGCCTGGTAGTTAACAGAGAACATTCTTCTTCCTGATGTTTACAGCTGCTGCTGTCTATTTCTGCCACATTGGTAAGAACATTTGCAGCTGCCTTTGTTTCCAGCTATTAAACCTGACGTGTGTTTTTTAACAGCACTCAATATTGTCCCGTGGTAGTCAAACCAAAGAGGTTTACTCTCAGACAGAACTTGTAGCAGATAACACGCTTTTTATTTATTCCATTTTACCTTCAAGAGATGGTTTAAAGCATAACTGTCTTACAAACGCTTCATTTGTAACGTTATGCGCTGTTACACAGAACATACAGCTCAGAAAGCAGTCCTTTGGTCCAACTCATTCATGCTAGTGTTTATGCTGTGCTCCAGCTTGGACCTCCTCCATATGACCAGCTTGCTCCTCTATTCCCTTCTTGCTCATCTCTACCTTCCTCTTCGTTGCATATATACTGGTCGACCCAGCCACTCTGGGTAAAGATATTTCTCTGAACTCTATTGCAGTGAACCTGTCAAACATTAAATCCACCTTCAGCCCTTGTTCTCAGAACTGAGTCTGCTGGGAGTAACTATTAGATCAGTGGCACTGCTTAACTCCCCAAGCTGCACGACAGAAAAATTGAGGCAATTTTATGGCAGGCAGTTTCAGACAAATTTTTGCAGGACTGTGTTTTTGTTGCAGTTGAAGATTGGTCTCACCCTGTTCACAAGGAAAGGTGGACTGAGCTTTGCTGAGTATTGGTTTACAGGTAAACCAGCATTGCTTTCAAAGTTCATAGCTGGTCTTCTTTTAAATTGGGATGTCAAGCACCTCCAGCATCTGCAGTTCCTACTATCTCTGACTCATTGTTCCTGTCAGTTCCTCTGGTCATTAGATACAAAGAAGAAGACAAATGACAGCTTTCCTGCAACCTGCCCTTTT